CATCTTGCTTGTAATTCTACCTTCCTTGATACAATATCAGTTAAAAGGAGAATAGCAAAAAAAAAAAAAAAAAAAAAAAAAAAAGAAACTGGGAACCCTGAACCATTCTGTGCTATTGGCTCGAAATACAATACTTCAGGACAGAAATAGAGTATGTAGAGGCATATGAAACAGTGAAACAATTAAATAAAACTGGAAATGAAGAAAGATCCATAAAAATCTTGTGGAGAATTGCTCCTGCTATATAATCTTGCCTCTTCAGTTATACCCTAGAAGAGTCCAGAAGCCAACTGGAGAAAAGGAGAGCAACATGCATAAAGACACATTCTGTTCACTAGCTGCCTGCATTCTTCACGGGAATGTAATCCTTGACATAGGGTTTGTCAGCAAAATACAATTCATCATGAAAGAATGAACTACTGTCTTGCTAAAGTATCAAAAGGCGTATTTTCAGCAGCCTAGGAGTCTGAGGCAAGTGTTGGGAAACTGAACTACCTATGTCTGTTCTTTTGACTAGCACAACTACAACAAAAATGTAAAAATTGTTTCCAGTGCTAGAACATTTAACAGCTCAGATTTCAAACAAGGAGGAACTCTTTCAAAGTAGAAAGAGCGTATGAGATGTTTGTTTCTTTAACTGAATGCAAACTGGATGTGGAATTTCCTTTTTGAATGGGAGATGGCTTGGATTCCCATTTGTATATTGCATCATATATAAAAAAGGATGATATAATGAATTGCAATTCTGAAGAATCCCGGCAGCAATGAAAAAAAATATTTCAGGTTAACACCTTCAGTGGATCTCTTGCTGTGCAATCTATCTTTCTACTAGGTTCAAAGACTCTTGGGCCAGGAGCAGTTTAGTTATGCAGCTCATCATACCAATGCTGCATTTGTGTTAAAGGCTGAAAATAATAATTATATCCGTTTAAGATAAGAGGTTTAAGAGAGAAGTTGCAGTAGTGCAGAGAAGTTGGAAGATTAATAGCAGTGGTAATGGAGGTTACACATGGCTGCTAGTAACAGAAAAATACTCTGTCTTTAAAATTACAGCAGACAGTCTGGACTAACAAAGGTAACTTCAAAGACATTTAAAATAACTTTACAGGCCTGGCCATACATGTTTGCAAAGTGAACTAGATACAGCAGTTCCTCATGCAATGCTTGAAATATGCTGCAAATACATTGGGAATGCACAAGTAGCACAGCCAAGACTGCTTGCTAAATCTGCTCAATTAGCTCCAAATGCTTTCCACAGATATAATACCTAGTAAGGACCATCCGCAAATAACCCTGACAAAAAGTGGGGAAAAATTCCTCTTCTTCAGAGTGTGGACAGGCAATGACTGCAAAACCACTACTAAGGTCATTGGATGAGGTTTTGGCTGGCAGGTACAGGATAAAGATCAGCATGGCCATGCCTCCGGCCCTTGCCTCTTCTACAGACAAGTGGATCCAGAGTCTGAGAACATAAAACCACAACTTGTCTGGCACAGACTTGGAGCTTCTACTGCTGCCCACTCATGCACCTTCTGAATGCAACAGGATCTAAAATCTTATGTAGGGTAACCACGTACATCACTGTCAGACACGAGGTGAGTTATTTATATAGTGCTGGGAGCTCCTTAGGGAAGTGATCTGTCTTCTTGTGCACAGAGTCCGTGTAGTCTATAAATACTACTAATAATAACATAAAAATAACAGTCTGCCATTACCACCCAAACAGCCTGCTCTATTTACAAGTTGTATTTGGACTTGACTTTTTAAATGAGGTTTTGCTTCTTTCTTAGATGACTTTCTTGTATCTTCAAATGATCTTGGTTTGGGAAATAAAGGATTGGAGGCCCAGTCACCATGTAAGCTGTTTGCACATAAAGTATCAAAGCCCCTTATTTTAATCTGTGATAATTACTACTGTTGGTTAAATCTTGCTTCCCTGATGATTCTTAACAATAAGTAACAAATGCATAATGCATTAATTGCAAAAAGCTGTTGCTTGTTCTGAGATCAATTTGTATTAATAGAAAAAGTTTCCATCTTAGTCAGCACAAAGCGCTCTCACAGCGATTTTTACAGCACCGGCAACAAATGTTTTACAATGGAATTTTACCCTGGAAGTATGAGTTTTAAGGAGGTCACTATAATCTAATTGCTGCAGACTTTTTGTTTTTCCTTAAAGGAGGAACTGTTTAAAGCTGGACAACACCAAAGAGGAGATGCTGATAGCTGTAAAGGCTCTCCACCTAAGTCTAAGCCCTACATTAAAGCTTCTGGATCCTCATGATGAAAATCCTTCACTTGGGATTTGCGAAGAATTGAATTCCACACCAAATATTTAAGCTATCTGGGTTTCTGGGACAATGCATCTTCTTCAAAGATTTGTATCTACCCGTACCCTTTCCTAGCAATCCAGTGGTGCCTTTTGTTTACCCCTCTAGTCAGAGAATAAGAATCTAATTGTGTGATCTAAGTGTCCAGTCAGAATTAACCAATATGTCTAGAATTTTAAATGCTCATTATAAACCAAATCTAAGTCCAAGAACATCCTGCTGGACTCACACAGGGTGAAATTCCTGGGAAGCAGAGAGTTGGCACAAGCTCTCCGCAGACAGAAGCAGGCCACATATGCAGCACATAAGCTTTTGTGCCCTTCTGCACAGGGAGGATCCTGATCCTGAGTTAAGAATTGCAAATGACAAGTGATTTTGCACTGATCCTATCCTGCTCACATGCAGACACTGAATCCATCATCAACACTATTTACTGTGACCGATGTACGATTGCAGCCTTTCTAGCAGTGAGCCAACATCTTTATCAGATTGGAACCATTCACACCATTCTGAACTTTCAATCCATGTAATCAGTGAATACACAATTATTTCATATTCCTCCCTATAAAGAGAATCCGGGTCCATTTGCATGCCAAAGTGTTTTAAAATTCGACAAATAAATAAATAATGTTATTTCACCTGTTAACACATGGGAACTGTTTGTTTTGGCCAGCATGCATGGACTGTGTGTGCCAGGTTATGAATAAAATAATGTTCAATACTCTAAACATTCTGTGATACAAATTCCTGGCTCAGCATAAATACAGACCTTCTGTATGTGGCAGGTTCTTAATGCATTCTCCAGCACTGACACCATTAAATTTACGTATCTATGACAGAGTATATCTATAAATATCTGTAATTCCTAATAATAATGTAAAAAAATGGAATCGCAGATAAGCCAATTTGCCCATCATGGGCCTCTATTTAACTGGATTTTGCTTGCTCGAGTTTGGGTTTTTGGAAAGCAAAATGCAACTACTGTATCCTAGTGGTTTCTGCACATGCCATACATTCCAGAACACAAAGTAGGCTTTCTTTTTAAAGAACAGTACAGTTACAGAGATAAGATAAAAGCAAACTGGAATATAATATTCCTGGGAAATTTTAGTTCTTTATGCAAACATGAAGTCAGTAATGTAAAGGATATGAACAACACTGGCAAAGGCTGAGTTTCTCACATTGCCAGGCCTCCTTCCCAAGCAAAACTACCTGTTACTTTAAGATCAGAATGCAAATACAGAGCAGACTCTGCTCTGGTTTAATCCACGGCATTCAGGAATTAATTCCACTGATGTCACTGGAGAAACTAAGTTCAGACAGGCCTAAGCGAAGGTAAAATCCAGCCCTGAGGAAGGGACTGATGGTTTTGGCTCTGCCTTTAAATTCATGGCTTCCTTTCATTTCAGGTGGTTGGAATAAGTCTAGGACTGGACTATGCTGTGTCGGTCTCAGACGAGCATGAAATTCAGCTGCACAGCTCTAGTCTTGCATCTGTGGTAATAAAATAGTGCACTGCCAGACTCTGCATGCATTGACAGGCTGAGAGAGTTAGGCTTGTTCAGCCTGGAGGAAAGGCGGCTCCGGGGAGATCTAATCGTGGCTTACCAGTACCTGAAGGGGGCCTGCAGGAAAGATGCTGAGGGACTGTTTATCAGGGAGTCCTTATCAGGACAAGAGGTAATGGGTTTAAGCTGAAGGAGGGTTGATTTACATTAGATCTTAGAAAGAAATTCTTTACCATTAGAGTGGTGAGGCACTGGAACAGGTTGCCCAGAGAGGTTGTGGATGCCCCATCCCTGGAACTGTTTAAGACTAGGTTGGATGAGGCTTTGGGCTAGCTGGTCTAATGGAGGGTGTCCCTGCCCGCAGCAGAGGGGTTGGAACTAGATGATCTTTAAGGTCCCTTCCAACCCAAACCATTCTATGATTCTATGATTCTATGGCACGAGGCAGAGGAACAGAACTCAGCTGTGAGCACTCTCAGTTACCCTCTGTTTCTGTGTGAGTCTGCTAGGGCTTCCCCCCAGTAGTATTCAGTTTAACAACACTTCTCCCAAACCTTCAGATTTATCACTTGTGGAATAAGAAGACTAAGGTCCGGCTCTCTTCTCAGCTCCATATTGATGCTTTAAGGGAGACAAAACTCTCACCACAGTCCCCTTGTGAAATTTCCCTTATTTTTTAGTGACTAGGTTCCTAACTTGAAATGCAAATATTTAACACATATATACACTCAAGGAAACCAACCTTCTAGCATTCAATCTGCTAGCCAGAACTGTTCAGAGTTTTAGTTTTTGCAATATGGAAAGCAGTTTCAACATCGTTTATAAAGTAGCTTTTTGACACCGGAGTCCACCTCTGGTGGGAATCTTGTGTGGGTTTTGCCTTTGGATGGTTAAGCTGTCAATTAATACTCATTTCTATCCTGTTTGGAGTATTTTTCTCTAAAACTTGCAGGGTCATATCCATAAGCCTGTGTTGCAATGTTTGGGTTATAAACAGTATACAAGGAAAGCTTAAATCCCAGCAAAAACTCTAATCAAAACCAGTTAAATCATTCCTTTCTGAATATTTAAACTGCAGATTAACTCAGACAGCACATGGACGCAGAGCACACTGAACATCTTTACACTTCGAAAGAAAATACCACGTAGTGTTTGCCGTTACCTTAGACCAATCGCCTGTTTTCCATTCATAACAGCCTGTGTGATCCTCACACTCTTCCTCATCTCTTGGCCTGGTAGCTGCATCACATTTTCCTTGAGAATTTGTGCATGTCACTGTTCTTTTCTGAATCCCCTTGCCACAGTCTGCCGAGCACTGCAAAACAACAAGTATTGGTTTTCTGTTACATGATGCTAGAAATGATAACTTTTATTTTGGTAGCATAGCTAAAAGGAAAATCTGGTTTTATGAACACAGAGGAAAACTGATAACCTGTAAGATTTTTCCCCAATAATTTAAGCTCTTTCAAACATAAAATGGTAATTTGAAAAGCATCTTGAAATATCTGCTTGTGAAATGTTTTACTTATGACAAATGACGATTCTGAAAATCAACCTTCTTTGAAAAATATCAGCTGGCATTTTGCTAGAATTGGTGTTACAGATGAATAAACCCACAAAATCTAGTGTTTAAGAGCTCATCATTCATACTGAAAAAGAACACACTGAGATTTACAACACAGAACTGCCACGTCCCTTGATGTATCATCGGAGTAAAATGATGGCAATAAATGCATTTTGAAATCACAGTAGCATGAGACCACTGTTACAAACACATTTCTGCAGTACAGTTTGTACACACCATGGTAAAGTCACAGTTCTCACACGTGTTCTCATGTGAAACACATACATGACCCTCACTCTTTGTTTTACCATATCCTCATCACTACGTTAGTCCTGGAGAACTTCGAATGTACAAAGGGGATAGCTCAGGAGAGGCACTATTGGGTGACCCACAGTGTTGTGATCAGCTTCCAACCATGGCCAGCAAGCTAGCCACAGACATCAGCAGGGATGAAAGACAGACTTCTCAACACCAAAAGCATAAGCAGGGACTGTCTGAAGTCCTCCGAGAAAGAAGCAGGCTACAAGAGCTGCTACAATCAGTTGCTGAAGGAAGATTTGATTCAAGCATTTGGGCATTGTAACAAACGTTCATACAAGCGAGCACAAATTGTCCACAAATGTTTTTGTGCCTGGGCATTATGAAAGTGGCTTCTAAAGAGCAGGGATATCTGGTCTGTCATCTCTCCCTGTGGTTGGCTGGAAATTCTGTTTTACTGGAGAATTTGTCTTGATTTCATTGACTGTACTATGTGGGAAAAGGACACTAGCATGAACTGAAACAGAATTTCTGTTTTAAATAACCAGTTCGTAATAGAGTAACAGATCTGCTGATGCTGTTCAGCCGTCCAAGTGCATGCCAGTACACAACAGCATAGCTTGTCTCTCTGCTCTTCATTTTCATGCCACTTCAGTGGTTAAGAGTGAGAAATTTTCTTGAAGAGCCACTGGGGACAGGTGGGTGGAAAAATGATATATGTACCAACTGAGATAAAAAATAACCTCCTCTAGCATGTCAAGTTCTCCCCTTCAGGGGATCAGCATGGAAAAGACAGTTGATTTGACACTGAATAAATAGTGAAGATATGAGATATTCTGTGAGGTCTTTTGAATGTATTCCAAGAAGCTTCTCCATCCAGGGGGGTCTATGCTGGAAACAAGCGTCAGCTTGATATAAATTACATCAAATGGACAAATCTCAGCATGCCTGTCTAACCGTCTTAAAAATACAATCCAGGCAGTTCTGACCTGCTGGCCTTGTTAAGGACATGAATGACAAGTGTTTATGAGCTGGCAAGCAAACAGACATGCCTTTAAATACTTCAGAGCACTACAAAGTGACTTCTTGAAAATCTGGGAAACTTTCCACTTAATTTACTATGTGCTGCTCATGGCGTGACCTCCTTACGGATGTAACATCTTTGTAACAAGAACAATTGTATAGTTCTGCTAGATATGGGGATGAATTCTTCCAGGCTTTGCAGAATTCCAGAAACTGCTTTGCTGGACTCCTCAGAGCACTAGACTTGCCAGAGATCCCAGGCTGGAGCTCCCTAAATGGTACCTAAAAGCCATGAATTTGCCCCAAGTTGTATAGACTTTCCTAAATTATATATCATTTTCCTCAGTCCTCAGGGTGGACTCCTCAGGGTTGCACTCATTCATCTCAAACTACATAGCTCAATATATAAAATCTTTCAAATGGTCCAATCTACTCGAAGTAAATCAAACCGAAGTGGGATGATTTTTCACAGTAGGAGAAATCTCTAAGTGGGTTTTACAAGCAAGTCTGGGAAAAACACCAACTGTTTGTTCTTCCCACAAGCTTCTAAGTCATTCACAGATTAATACTGCATATAGTTTCCTAGACAAAACAGCATTTGCAAAAGGTTTCCAACAGATCTTTGGTGGTCACATATAAATCACTCTCTTTAAGAGTTTTTTTCTTTCCTCAAGTCATCCGTTTTCATGAAGAATTTCTTAACATATCAATTTTACAAAGATTCCACAACAGAACAATCTGCAAATTAATATGCGCAGTCCCTGAGTGTCCAGCTGGGATCATTAGATCTTATTTTATTAACAAATTACTTAGTCAAATCCCATGAGGTTTTGTAAAGGAGCAACACAACTTTGTAGTTAAGACATAACTCCTTTATTTGAAGGAAATCCCTATTTTTTTGTACTCCAGTTCTCTAAGAGTAGAAACAATTCACCTTTTTCTGACAACCTCTATTTTTGTCATTAAAAATGGGTTGAGCAGTACTTTGTCCAAAACAATCTCAAGTGTCTGGCAATAAAAGGGGAACTTAATTTTTTTCCACAATGAAGATTGCATTGGAATTTGCATTGAAAACACACATTTTTGATTTGGGACCAGATATCAGTGTGGTCAATTGTTTTTTGTTGTGTAACCAAAAAGTTCAAAAACATACATGACAAAATTGATCTATAAAATGATAACACTGCTGTTATATTTACTCCACAATATCAGATTAAAATGTTAAGGATTAAAGTGATTACCACTGAAGAAAGACCTAGTTAGGAGAAGTGTTCAAACTGGCAGAGCATCAAATGTGTCCTGGAGTCAAATGTGCTACATAATAGCAGAAATGTGCCAGAACAAGAATGAATTTAAAATCACGAGTGGGCAATTACAGATACGACAAAAGGTAAATAAGTTTATCAAATGAAAAGTAAACAAGTTGTTGAAAAAATGATCTAAAAATATTATGTATTTGCAAATGAGTTACATGGTCACAAATACGGAAGATTTCCACTCTGGAAAAAGTCTTCTGTAACTTGACTTACTCCATTTCATAAAAAGGAGAGAGAAGTACCTGGGATTGTTAACAAAAGACCCAAGTAAAAATTTCCCATGTAAAACAGGTAGGAACTGCACCATAAGAATAGTCTCAGCTATAAACAGTTCAGCTGGTTCAGCTATAAGAATAAAGAAGGCATCATCTGAAAGGGTTACTTCTATAACACACAAAAGACCTGTCAGACAACTTATTAAATCTTTGGTGTGTTTCTCCACATCTTTTGAAATGAAAGAACTCAGAAAGAAAACGAATCTCATGCATTAATGAACAGATACAGTGTCCTACTGAAAGGAAACACTATTCTCACTTAACTATCTTCTCACTTGCCAAATAAAGATTTCCTGTTCAAAAGGTGGACAATGGAATCACATTGTGTTTGTTAAGAGACACTGTTCCTCAGTGCAAGATCTGAACTTCTGTGACTTTTTAGCACATTTCTAACAATAATATTTTGCAAAAGCTCTTTGACAATGTTTTAAACAGGAGCTCACTGTTTCAAAACAGAGATGAATAACAAGGAAAGATCCTTCCCACAGAAATAACTGTTGCTGGACAGTCCCATAACACAGCCAGTCTGGAATGAGACTGATAGAGCTGTAAGCACTGCACCAAAGAGCACAAGAATCTTATCATTCATATGAGCCTAACAGCTACAACATCAAAACTAACATGGACATTCTATTAGGACTGTTACTCACAAGGTACAAAGTTGCCCTGTATTAGTGGAGTCCTGGTCAAGAACTGTAGGTATACTCCCAGTTCACTCTGTTGCTAAATAAAACACAGGCTAACTGTCTAGACCACACATAATTTATATCTGAAATGCATTTATAATATTTGAGAATAATTTCTTAACTCTGCAACAACGTGGACATGCACCTTTTTTTACAAAGAATAACCAGGTTTTCCATGTTCTTGAAATTACACAAAATAAGGTTGGTTAAGGCCCAAAGATTGTACATTCTCTGTAACATTTGGATGCTTGATAAATCTGGTATTTATTTTATACTGCATTTAAATGGAGCCAGAAGCCCTGGTAGGTTACTACACTTGTGTTCTCAGGTCAGTCAAATGTTTCTCCTTGCTGGTCAGAGTTTTCAGATGGAAAGATATAGTTACTATAGCATGATATCTAAAACCTGCCTGAAAAACTCATCCGGTATGGAATACAAAATTCAGCTCCAAACTGATCATCTCAACAAATGACAGTCCTTCTCAGTGCCCCAGTTCTGTGAGGCATTGAGTATGCTGACCATGAGAACATGCTTAATTTTAAGCACTTAGCTGGAGTAGGGCCAGTGTATTCAGAGCTGTGTGCTGTCTGGCTCCTTGAATCAAGTTCCTACCTTTGACCACTCTGATGCTTCCCAGATAGAAAGGCAGTCCCGTCCTTCGCAGCTTTGGACAGTTGCTGGTTTATTGCCAAGGCAGTAGAGGTCTCTCGTGTTAACGTAGGTGCCATTTTGCAACTGATAAACACAAGTCACTTCCCGGTGCTGGACACCTTTCTCACAAGTAGCAGAGCAGGGACTCCAATGGCCAGTCACCCACCTGGGAAGGAGCCAGAGAAGGAATGTTAAAAAAGTGGTGGGATAAAACATTATGCTTCACTTAAAAACAGTAAGAAATGGGCAACTCTTCCTAGATTTGTGGGTTCTTCAATGGTGCTGTATTGCCATCACACTGAGATTACCTGATCACCTTTAGGAGCTGAAGTGTGCAAAGCAGAAAAGTGTCGGTTTACAAGTGTATGTATGTCCACTTCTGCCTCCATGCTAGAGAGAAACACAAACTCTGCATAGCTCCCTTTAACCCCCAGTCTTTACAATGTGGCTGCATTTTTCCCCCAGGTAAAGACAGACTTGTCTGCAGACCATCCTATCCCACAAATATTGTTGCGTTTGAGAGGAACCTGGGAAAACTACTGCTACATCTGCACGCACATCTTCACTGTGCAGTGGAGCTGTGCAGAGAACCTGTACTTACTGTGTACAAACCGGGATGGTGCTACGGCCAGACAGTTTGCCCAACACGGCTTTCCTGCATCCAGGATCAGTCAGCTTCTCTAGCCCTACAGTATATGACCTCAAAGCATACAAATCCTCTACATCCCAGACTGTTAGAATGCAAAGACATCTCCTGCCTCATTTTTAGTTCACCCTCTCACAGCTGCTGGTCAGATTTCCCTTTTCATAGTTGGGCTTTCCAGGATGTTTAATTGGAATCTCATCTATTTGAAGTTCATGGCATTAGGGGCCTCAAAAATGGAGAATAGCTGGCCATGTTCATTCTTAGAAAATCTGAATTGCATTTAACTGCCAAGGCTCAAGAAGTACATAAAAAGACAAGATTTTCCCTATAGAAAGGATCCTGCGATGTTGTTTGAAAGCTGCTGTAGCTCACAAGGATGTGCCATAATCCAGTCTGGATGGGGGCACATTTCCCTATAACCATCATTTCTCCGAGCCTTTGGGATTCATTTACTTTGTAAGCACATTTCAGTTCCCACTTCCTTCCCCTTTGATCAAAGTGTACTGGGAACAAATACATGGCCTTTTTTGTTGTTGTTTGCTTTGTTATGTCTTTAAAGGCTCTTTGGCAAACACCCAGCACAACGTTGTGAGGTGTTCAGGTTCCTCCAAGGTAAGGAACACATTGCTGCTGGGAGCAGTCTCCAGCTGTGGGCATGCAAGGGAAATGAGGCAACCTCACCCGGCTGTCTTCCAGCTCAGTGTAAGGCGAACTGAAAGGCTCCCACTGACTCCAGCAAGTACTGGAAGCACCACTGTGGTTAGAGGTGGGCTACAAGGCAGTGAATAAAATGTCTAAGAAGAATCTGAATTAGGAGGTATATAGGGAGAAAAGATTTTTTTCCTTGAGACAAGCAGCATCGATCTTTACGCTTCCTGCAATCTGTCAATGAGGAACATGTTCTCTGTAATTACAGGCATTCCTGGATGAAGTGAAAGACTGGAACAATAACTGTGTAGGTGCTGTGCACCAGAAGGCTATCATGCCTTTCTCACCAGGTAATTGGCCTTCTAGCCTGTTATTTAGGACTGTCACCTAGATTAGTATCCTTATACCATGAATCTTTTTACTTGTCACTCAATCCTGGCTTGTCTGTTATGATAAGTGGCTCAAATAAGACTTCCCAAAAACAAAAGTCTGCTCTGAAATACTATTTCATTTTGATGAAGGCTCCAACATTCTAGGTAGAGCCCTGTATGTGCCAACTTATTAACCATATTTCTTTTGAAGTTGCTGCGTAACTTCTCCTAAACAGATCAAACAACTGTTTCTCATCTTCGTATTCCTGAACGGGGCAAAATCAGTTCAGCACAATTTGTAGAAACATCTTCGTTTGGTGCAATTGTCATGAATTCATTTGCCAAATGTTATGGTTGATGACCTGATGTGACAGCACTGATGACTGCGTTGACAGTGAAGGCAGAAGCCATTAGATTTGAGCAGGACAGGATCGGGCAGGCTGGCCACCTGTCTTTTGTGGAACAGGGCCCCACTCAAATGTTTCTGTGCATTAAAGCAGTTGACACATCTGCGAATTTCCGTTGGCTAAAACAGCTGGCAAGACACCAAACGTGTTTCTCTAGACAGTAGTTTTGGCCCATCTCTGTGGCTGAGTGCTTGGTATTTTGCTTACGGAATGGGAAAATGCCAGCTGGGTAATCAAATACTAGGACTGAAATACTGACAAAAATAGCCTTGAAGTGCAGAAATCAGTGTTCATGAAAATTAATAGCCAGGCTCCCTTCATATCAGCTGGGCTCTGCCCTATCAGAGCAAATGTGGAGGCAGCTATCTAGTTGGGTGAAGAAACTGCTCAGCAAGGGCATGTAGAGGGAGAAAGAATGACTTTGTCTTATGAGCTGAATGTGAGTCACAGGGCCGGGAACTGTTTCTGTAGAGGCTCCACTGAACTAATATTCACTTCAGCACTGTACTCTCACTGTGATCTACAGCTACTGGCAAAAGAAAAAGGGAAAGGGACTGAAAGCAAAGGAGAAAGATAAAAATACATTCTTGGCAGAGGCTCTCTGTGAGCTTGCATTTAGGATGGGCAGCATGCAGCATGCCAACTATTTCCAAGATGCCTTAAGAAGTCAGGTTATGACTTTCAGGAAGGAAAATTCCTTTTTAATTTTTTTTTTTTTTTGTTATTGCTCTTGTGGAAGGGAGAAATCATCTCGTTTCTACGCTGTTCAGCGGTCTCTAGTTAGTGCCACTCTAGCACAGATATGACAGATCATAACTGGAAAACTAGCACAGAAAAAACAAATCATGATCATGATGAAAAGAATGACTGCACAGGGCATGAGCCAAAACCCAGGGAATCAATACAAAGCTGTGCCTGTGGTAAAAACACAATCTCCAGCTTTTTTGTAAGAGTGGCACCTGTATGGCCAGCTTCAGCTACCGACCAACTACATCCATCCCTGCTCCAAGCCCAATGGTTACAAATAACATGGGACTACACCGTAAAGGATCTCTGAAACCTCACAGCCCACTCGATCCTACTTGTGACAACTGCTGCTGACATGGAATCAAAATACTTAGAAATTAAAGGCTATTTTAAAGTAGTGGTTTTAGTCTCATATCCAAGAGACAAGTGATAGATTAAATGTTTGAATAATAATAATATCAGTAAAGTAGGCTATTTTCAAAGGCATCAAGAGGATGATCACTTTGACCACAAAATTTCATCCTCTCAGTGAAATCTCTGTTTGGTTCAATGGCTTGTAAAAATGATCTGGCAAACAAGTAAATGTGAGTGCTATGTGCAGTACTGGCAGTACCCTGGTCTTTCCCCACAGTTCTCCCAAAGCCCCCTTCATAGGCAGCAGAAAATACTATTTTAGTACCTGTAAGAGACAGAATCACTGCAACTATATTTCAGCATCCTTCACAACCAAAGTGGAAAGACAAGGGATTTATGGATAAAGTGATTAAATATGAAAATTCCTACCAGTTTCCTATTTGGTAATGTGCAGCAAGGTATTAGCATAATTACTATCTGCAAGTTATATGTACACAGGGAAGAAAAATGTGATGTACAAATAGTATCACATTATGGTTACTGTTAAATTACACTACAGACAGATTTTCCTCTCTACACTGTCATTACACCTTTTGAACACACCTGGATGTGTTTAAGAATAAGACTTACTTTTCTTTTTTTTTTTAAACAGTAAGTATTTTTCTTATGACAATGTAAAAAATAATTCCAGGGTTCTAACTCAAAACACCAAGCTAGTTCTGTATTATTAACTAAGCCAATTAACTGTTGTACGCTGAGCCCTGTGTACATCACATAGAGCATTTGGCTTCCAGTTATGTTTTAAGCCTGTAAACTGATCTTAGGGATTGCTTGACACCACAGATCTTTTCAGTTTGGTCTTTCCCTCCCAGGTTATAACCTATATTCTGAGTATTCGAGCCGGAGTCCCTGGAGAGCCTCACATTTTTCCAACAAGCACTGATTTATGTGACAAACACACTCATCTTTCTCACAACCACAGGGATGATTTTATCCTTGGTATTATTTTTTGTAATCTTACATCCATAGAAGATTCAAGAGCTAGATGATCCCTGCTGGTGGTTAGATTTAGGAAGAAAGTGATGAGCTTTTAAGCACAGATCTTTTAACCCAGTCAGTGGCTGTCTTTCTAGCTAAAAAATGCCCAGAAGGGTGTGTTTTTCTACAGCCTCAAAAAGCTAGGATGGGCAGAAAATGCAATCTGAGAGGGCTGTTTTAAATCTTTGTCTTCTGAGTCTTCCTCAACCTCTGACCTCTCAGTATCTCTGCTGAGGAATTGGGAGTTCTTCTAATCTGCTTTGGCAACACTCATCTGGCAGGCCCCTGGAGCAAACTTGAAATATCTTTTGGAGGTTCAGTTCATCATTTGATCTTTCTATGGTCTGGATTAGTCATTAACCTTGAATTATCCACTCTACCTACTTGCCTACTTCCACATTTTCTAGGAAAAAAATTGTCTACAGCACTATGTACATAAACCCAGGGGAGATGAATGTCTGCAAATGAAGACTTGTAGCTAACGATTTGGAAAAAAAATGCTATGAAGATAAAATGGGTCAAGGTTGAAGGATGGGGCGGAGGAGTGCAATCAAAAGACATGAGGTCATTTTTTAGAGATTTGTAGCCTCTTATAACATAAAGCCATTACATGTTCTAGGTAAATATTGCGGCCCATTAAATTTCACCTGGTTATTTCTATCTCAAGCCCTGCAGAAGAGGTGCAGGGCTTGAGGTTGGTTCTGTTCCATTAACTAAACATCCATGACCTATTCGCACATGCCCTCACAATTGACAGGGATTGCCTTACTTTTGTTCCCTCCCTAATGAAATTAATTTCCCTGCTTTCACAATAATCGCTCGGATGTGACCAGAGACACATTTGCAATAACACATTTTTTTCTCTTTTTATTAAAGCTGTTTTTTTTTTTTTAATTGGCTTTTAACTACAACTAGTTAAGAGCCTGTACTACCACTGAATAAAGTATCAGAGGAA